GAGGCACAGCTCCTACGAGTGTGATGCGCTGGCTCTAGACAGTAACTGTCTAGGAACCTGCTGCAAATAAAGCAGGAATAAATAGGATTAATGTCCTGGAAGGCGCCGCCTGCATAATCCGCTGCAGGAGGATGGAGGCCTCCAGGAAATTATCCGGTATGAAATGTCCGAACCCACATCAGCGCAGGTCAGCGCGAACTTTCGCAGGTACTGCCACGCACAAGCCCAATCAGTGGCTGAACTCCAATCTCAAGCTTCTGGCATGGCAGGTTGAAGATCTGCTCAACTCGCTCGCGCTGCTCCTCTCCCGCTTTGGATGCATGGCCAGTGTGCTGCGCTTTTGACGAAGGATTCTGACTCGCACTCTGCCTGCAGGTTCTCGTAGGCATTGATGGTTCCGTCCACGCTCAGCCTCGCATTTCATGCATCCGCAAGGGCAAACAGAACCCTGGCATCAAGTGCGTAAGCACGCCGCTGTATCGTTCCGGGAGACTTGCCATCTGCTGGTGAGACCTGACACCATCTGCTCTAGGAAGCTGTGCTTCGACTCTACAGCTCATGCTGCTTCAGCATGCCGCTAAAACATGTGCAAGCAAGAGAAGATCAGACACGGCTGTCGAATCATAAAACAGGCCAAAAGCTCCACCACGTTCTGCATTTGCTTGTATCGTGCAGTCATCCACATATCCTTGATCTCCTGGCCAGAGTCCAACAACAGCATGCCGTACCAAAATGCCACAGGCTCAGGCGAAGTCTTGCTAGAAACTGCTCCGGGACATGTGTGTCTTTCTTGTGGCCCCGGGTCCGTGTAGGCATCGCGCTGCTGAACACTTCTTCCATCGTTTTGGAGCCTTAAGACATGTCTAGGCTTCGCAACAACGCATGCGGCCAAAAAGCAAGAGCGGCAGGTATGCTCAAGGCAGGCCGCTTGTGCGTGTGTATCCGAAAGCAGTACGGACGTGGACGGACGTGGTAGTTTCCCAAAACAAGGGGACCCCAATATAGACCCCAAAATACTATAGTCCTTATTATTGGGACCCCTTAAAGAGGTACCCCTAATTTGGGAAACCCTAAACCCTAAATAGTAGCTTCCATTTTCTTTTCCATTATCCCTATATAACCCCAATATTACCCCTATAAGTCCCTTTTAGAGGTACCCCTAATTTTGGGAAAGCACCACCGCGTGGAGTCTAAGAGGGCAGCTCGAAGTGCTGCCTCCGCAGCTTCTGGGAGTTCAAGGGGAATCTGCCATTCCTCGGTCTCATGGGAGTTTCCCAAAGTTAGGGATCCCCTTTGAAGGGGGATGTAAGGGATGTGTATATATATATGTATATGTATGTATGTAGATTGGGTTTTTTAGGGATTTATAGGGTTTAGGGTTTCCCAAATTAGGGGTACCTTTTTAGGGGTCCCCATGATAAGGACTATAGTATTTTGGGGTCGATATTGGGGTCCCCGCTATTTAGGGAAAGTACCTCATGTCTTCGGCACCAAGTACTGCCGGGGTTTGTTGCAAAGAGTTTCGAGTGACCACATGCTGACTGGGGTGAGAGCAGAATGGCGAAGTCTACGGGGAACAGGCCATCAAACTTGTCCTGCGCAGAGTTGCATGAACACATTGAACACTCCTTAGTTCGGGCTTGCTTAATCTACCTTGCCTTACAATTTCATGCGCAGCAATCTAGCGGACTGCGCAGTCCTAACGGAACTATAGTGTGGCTGGGCCTTTCGCGGCATGTTTGATTCATCCACGGCCCCTCATCTCGTTCGCCTTGTATCTAATCTTGTATTGTATCTTGACAGAAGCACCTGATCTCGTTCGCCATTTGGAATATGTACTGGGCTCTTATCGGCACCTATCTAGTTCCCAGAGGAACGCTAAACCCAAATGCCCAAATACCAGCGCGCCTAGCCTTCTACTCTCTTACGTAAATAAATGCCGCTGCTGACATGAGCCATAGTCTAAACTCCTAGTATCCCTCCTAATAAGGCTTGTAGTAATTAATCCCATATATAATCCCCTATAGAACCAAACCCTAAAACCTAAACCCTAAAACCCCCTTTAAGGAGGTTAAAATCTAGCTCACATAGCTATCCAGTTTTCATGCCATTTGCGCGCGTGTGGCAAGTGTTGGCCTGTAGAGCCCGCAGCGTGCCCTGGATGACCTTGTCCTGCGGTGCCAAATAATGTAAGTATGATTCGGTATGATGTACTACAGGGGGTACATATGTGTAGACATATATATATATATTTATGTATTCATATATATATATATACATATTATATACATATATATATATATATACATGTATGGGATACTGTCGGGATCATCAGAACGGAACATCAAATGAAAGCTAGGATTAGATATAGGGACTAGGGTCCTACGGTGCTGAATGATGAGTCAAATGAAATGGACACTTCGATTATGTAGGGGTTACATGGTGATTTTCACTCCCTGAGAATAGTACACTCGCCACCCTACTCATAAATGCTCACCAAAACAGTACTGTAGATACGCACACATATCCCTTCCCGCATCTTCCATGGAATGCTCCTATGAGGATGGTAGGGGCTTTCTTATTTCGGGGAGGTGATTACTCTGACTAACAACCTAAGAAGTAGCAGCCATGTCAAGAGACATGTGGTAGGTTGCATAGATGCGAAGCGCTCTTATATGCGATGGCGCAGTGCTATGGGGGCAGTTTCCTCGATCCCATCATCATGCTTTTCTTCTGCTGCTATTGTGTTTATGACCAGGCAATATCAAAGAGGCCCCGACAACTATTTTCTCGTAGAGTAACCATGCATGGCTGTAAGCAATGCTGTCGCGTCGCTTTACACCTTTGACGTGTGTGCAAAAAAAGTTCGAGCCGCAGCCTTGTATAGATGGAGCTGCTCCTCCAACCAATCCTTGAAACTTGGCAAGTTCATGGGCCAGCAACATTTGGCGACTCAGCAAGAAACGTCAACTTCTTCAGGAGTAATCCCTTGTTTGCAGCAAGGTCTCCCCTCCGTTCATGCCATTCTTGGTGACGTTCCGCAGGCTTTGCGCAACACCTTGCATACAGTGACAGAGTAGGAAGCAGGAATAGCTGCGGCAATGGAAGTAGCGGTGGTGGCAGCAGTAGTGATGATGGCGCTCATTTTCACCGTGTAGAAAATCCGGAGGAAGTAGTGGCATTGGCTGCTGATGCGGCTGCGGCAGCTGCCTCTGTTTTAGTTGTTGCGGATCTGGTTGTGGCCTCGGCGGTACTGCTTTCTGTCCTGTCAGTCCTAAAGCATCAGCATTGGCAGCACTGACACTGGCCATGGTAGTAGTTGCATCAGAAGGAGCTATAAGAGCAACGACTCAAGGGTCCAACCTTCCATGGCCGTGAGGGCAGTTGAGACATCTCGCCCCCAGAGGAAGTTGAAGCGTTTCATGAAGACCTGCGGCAGCAACTGGCACCATTGCTATGGACATGTCGAATTCTTGTCGACCTACTGATAATAATATTCTGATGACAAATCATGGCCGCTGCTCATTGCTGTGACGTGATTGTTGCGCATCTTAGTCTGCCCATCTGCCCCCCGCCCTACCAACTACGCTTCTCACAGTATGAATGAACACAGAAAGGCAAGACTGACATGTGAAGCAAGAGTGTGCTGTAAACACTGGCACTTACTAGAGTTCAGCATGCTTACGTGTGGACGTTATGATGGCAAAATGTAAGCATGTCAAAATTTCGGAACACTTACGACCGATGCCTTGGCAAGCGTACCTCACCAGCGCAAATGCCCCGCCACCGTCACCGCACCCGGCACCCATCGCATCCCACTCCCACCCCGATCGCAACCTCCCAACCTCTGACCCCACCCCAGCATCAGCATCAACTAGCCAAAAAGGCATCAACACTACCAGCACGACACTATCACCACCAGAACCTGTGGGCTTCACCTTGCAAGTTCTCCAGGCCATGGCTCTACTTCTGTTTCTCTGAGGATTGCCGTGACCATCACGCATCTGATTGCCATGGTCAATTGGCACTACCACTGCTTCGCTATCATGCAAGCTAATAATCATTATCGTGAACATTGCAGTAACGAAATCTAACACTGCCTGACTCAAAGAAATTGTCTCTTGCACATGAGTTGTCGCCTCAAATTAACTACTACTGTATTCTTGACATCGAATCCTTCAAGACAATCTAAGCCATAGTCTAAACTCCTTAAAGCGAGTTATGTAAGGGACTGCATAGGGGACTACTATAGGGGTTATTAAGCGGGAATACTAGGAGTTTACGAAGACAAGGCAGCCGAGCCTTCTGACTGTGCATATTGAGCTGAGACATGCCTCACTTGCTTTGTTTGCGCCGTGTTTGTGGTTGCAAGCAACACTTTAAGGACTTGAGGACGAAATTCTCAACACCCTAATATGAGGACCCCGGACCCCCGAATGGGACACCTACTTTGAGACAAAGCCAAACCCTCGTGCGGTGGAAGGTGTAAGCTGCCAACGATGCAGAGCGAGCTTTGCAATCATTTCTTGCTGACCGGCCTTAGTTGGCTTCGGGACAGAAATTGAGGTTCCAAGCTCTCATGCAGCATGAGCTCCAGATTGTTTCCTCGTCCTGACAAGTAGTCCGCCACATGGTTTCTAGGATTTGTCTTCCAAAAATGATTTCCATTCTCAACGGGCTTACGAAGAGGATGAGGAAACTGCGATGCTTAGGTCTAGCAAGGGTGATGCCATCTAGAATCCAGTCTGAGTTTCCTCAGAAGCACTTCATGGGCTGATGATACCACAAACCGGGGTTTGAAACTTGTCTGTCTGCTAGAAGTCCCATTAGTCCCCATGTGCAAGGGTTTCACTAGATGGATACGGGTCTGACCTGTATGTCTGTCTGACCTGTCTGTCTGTCTGTCTCGCATGCCGTCTAAAACCCGCATGACTGCATCAAAGAGGCAACGCAATTCCAGGATGCCAAGGCGAACATATTGGCAGCCAGTAGGACTATATAATGGAGGCTTCTCAAAGTAGGGGTACCGCCCTGACGGAGGAATTTCAGACAGTAGAGATTATGCGGAACAGCTCCCATACTAAAGGTGCACAATGCATTGTCGCGTCCCCAGACCAAAATGGACCAAGAATGCCTAAACCCCTAAACCCTAAACCCTTAAACCCCTAAATCCCTAAACCCCTAAACCCTTAAACCCCTAAATCCCTAAACCCCTAAAACCTTAAATCCCTAAACCCCCATACCCCTGAAATGCTATGCCCCGGGCTGCAGACATCATGCCTGCTGATGCTTTTGCCATGCTTAGCTCCTCGTTGGATACCTCAAGCAGTAGCTAATATTAATATTATTGGGTTTAGGGTTTAGGGTAGTAATTATATTATAGATACTGTTACTATTATTATTAGTATTACTATTATTATTATTTCTATTAACAGCAATAGTAATTGTATTAATACTAGCTGCCAAGCCGAATTTGGAGAGCGATTGCTGAGCCGGCGCTGCACTTATGTTCTATTTATTAGCCATGGTCTAGACTCTTAGTATCCACCTTAATATCCCCCATCGTAGTCCCCTATATTATCCCCTACATAACCTCCTTTCGTGAGTTTAGACTATAGCTCATATTCGCTGCTGTTCTGTGGTCCCCGCCCTCTTCATGTTCAGCTGCAGGATGACAAACACGAACTCGTCACAAAGGCGCAGCCAGGACCTTGGCGAGGTTTAGGTTTTAGGAAACCACATTGTCAGCATGTCATCGTCATTATGGGTACTCTAATATAGACCCGCCAAACATGCCAAAAAGGTACCTGCAATTCTGGGAAACTCTCATTTTCTGACGATCTATCAGGAATGTTTCTTCAGTGCAAGGTTCTGAGCCAGCGGTTGCCTCCAACTCAGGCGAGAACGGCTGCCCAGCCAATTTTGTGTTCTTGTTCGCCATGAAAGCAGTTTTCACCTATGCAGGTGAGTCAGAGCTTAACGCCACGCCTTGCATCTTGAAGTGCTGCCAAGGCATGGCCAAGTTAACATATGGGTAGTTCCCAAAATTAGGGTCCCATTTTGGGTACCCTAAATATTAGGTGCCGTAATATAATCTACAAAAGGGGCCCCTAATTTGGAGAACAACGCATATCTTAATACAAGCCAAAGCAAGACCAGGAGGAACCGTCCAGTCATGTTGAATCTCTGTGACGGATCTGTCCCAATATAACATATTACCCCATATTACCCCAATATTACCCCAATATCACCCCAATATTACCCCAATACTGTGACTCTTATCCTTTGACTTACAAGATGCGGGCCTGTTTGGTGTCTACGTGGGACAGCACCTCCACATAGCCTTGATGGTCCGGCCTTGGACAGGTGGGGCTAGAAATTCATGCTGAAAATCGCTGCTGGCAACAGTGCAAAGGGAGCAACTGCTACAGCCTGTTCACAGGGCTGCTAGACTAGCCCTTGCATACAGAACTGTAAGCCAAGCGAGGCACCATCTTGCTTCCTCACCGGCTTTCTTAATCTCTTCCTGCAATCTGCACGTTGAGAAAAGCTTCAGACGCTTTAAGCGTTTCATCGCAACGCGTGCCAACGCCCGGCTGACCCTAAGTGTATCCGAAAGACGATTCTGTGTACAATCCTGCACATCTGCCGTCTTGCTGTATATGCTGCCGATCCAGGGCATTGTGAGATCTTTCTGGGTCGAGGTCAACCGTGTTCGGGCAAGGCCCTGTGCAACCTTCTTGGCTCTACATTTGTTGTCTTCTCAGAATCATGGCTGGCTCTCATCTTGGGATTCTGGGTACGCTAAAGGGACCACTTTTTGGAGAACCGCCCAGATTATTGCTCCAGAGCCTCCGTCGTCAGCATGTCGTTGGGCAAAGCGCGTGAACCGCTTAGCCATCCACACACCTAGGAGGCTTTGAAGGCTACAACTTGTCATTGTCCAAGTTTTACTGTTTGATTTATCCCTTGGAGCCTATGGAAAAGTGGATCTGAGTCCAGATACAATAACAGGAATTACTGCTACTACTCCTACTACTACTGCTACTTCTAATACTAATAACAATACACATAGTAAGACTAATGATACTAATGAATCACAGATTCAGGGCCTGGGATCCTGATTCCTGGTCCGTGTGTCTCTCAGGCCGGCTGTTTGTTTTAACACAAGTTTTTGGGGGGGTTCCAAAAATCAGGGGTCCCTGTTTCGGAGTCCCTGTAATCATGAGTTAGAGCACTTTTGGATATTCTAACATAACATAAAGATATATGATATATAGGGTCTCCAAACTATGGAGGCCACTGTACCAAGTGCTTCCATCTGGGCCGGGCACTGCATCCACGGCTTCCAGAGTCGCGTCTCTTTCGATCCTGTTGCTCCACAAGTAGGAGATGGTAGTTTGCCTAAACAGGGGGACCCCAATATAAACTCCAAAATACCATGATCCTCATTATTGGGAATTCCAGAAAGGGACCCCTAGTTTTGGGAACCCCCCCCATATCCACGCTGGAACCTTTCAGCGTGCGGCACAGTCGTGAGTAGTTAAGAACAGTCTTCCCAGAAAAAACGTCACACTGAGAGCCAAGAGCAGACAGCTCCGCTGGCGAGCTGAATGAAGCCAAGAGATTCAGATGCCATAGTAGGAATAATGGTAGTTAGAATGGTAATAAGTGTACTACTGATAATAATAACAACACTAAAACAATACCAATAAGATTTGTAAATGACAAATACACGGCCAGAACCAGAAGGGATCGGTCTGGGCTCCGGTCGCCCATCTCCACCCCGCCCTACCCCTTCTGTTTGGCTTCTTGGTTGAGGGTTTAGGGTCCAAACTTACTGGTGGGCAGTTAGTAAGGCATACTCCTACATAGTCCCAATATAATATATTCCCGTTCCCTGCTATAGTCCCCCTTAAGTAGATAGAATATGGCTTTGGGTATATTCTAGTAAGATCCCCATATACCCCATATTCTATCTACTTAAGGAGGACTCTATACCCTAAACACTAAGCCCTAAATAGTAGAAGTTTCCATTTTCTTTTCCATTATCCCTATTTCACCCCAATATCTTCCCTATAATCCCTAATATAAACCCCTAAGATTCTACTATTAAAACCACCAGTAAGCAAACATCTTGCGGCCCTCCCTCACCTTCCCGGAGCTTTTAGGTTCCCTTCGCTCTCTACAGCCAGCCCACCTTTTGAATACCTAAGGGTTTAGGGTTTAGGATTTAGGGTTTAGAGAATGATGGCCTTTTAGGGTTTAGCAGGGTTTTTAGTCCGAACAAATGTGTATATAATGGGCAAAAAAACTGTCATTACAATTTTTTCAGAGGTCTACAGGCAAACAGCTCTGTTAGCACTCCTGCAAGGAACCGCCCGTTATGACTCAAAAGCTGAAGTCATAACAAAACCTGCTTCCGAATGTTACCGCTGGCACATGCAACCTCCGCGTTTGCACTTCCCCAGTTAGAACGCCATATAACCTGAACATCGTTATGACTTCAGTTGAGCCATTGTCTAAACTCTCAGCATCCCCCTTAATAACCCCTATAACAGGAACCCTATAGTCCGCTTATAACCCCCTTTCAGGAGTTTAGACTATAGCTCAGTTGTTCCCTGTAGCAGCTGATGCACTGCTTGGTGGAGCCGTCGTTCGGCCAATTCGGCTGGTGCGCAGCGTTTGGAAAAACTAATTGCCTATTCATAAAACGACAAGTACAGCGAAGAACATGAAATACGAATAATAGTAAGAGTAATACCAAAAGTCATAGTAAAAGTAATTATAATGGTAATGATCGTGAGACAAGTAATAGTACCCATCAAATAATAGTAGTAAAAACAAATTTGATGCCCATCCGGCCTTCCAGACTGTTGCCTCTCGGCGGCCCAATCCAGCCTGTCGCAAAGCAATTGGCCGACCAGCCGCAGCTCTCGGAATCGGCGAGGTTTCTTTAGGGTTATATACTAGAATAATGGAGGATCAAATGCAGGGGTTATATACTGGAATGATGGAGTCTTTTAGGGTTATATACTAGAATAATCGAGAATCAAATGGAAAACACATTGGAAAATGAAATGGACACTACGATATATTGGGGCTCTATAGGGGCATAATAGTGCCCTCCCCTCCGAATATCAAAGCCACCCCATCCCCCCAAATATTAAATACTCCCCGTTGTAGTATATCATAATATGCTGGGAATATTCAACATGAGGGGGTGTGGGGGTTTAATAACAACCCTAAACCCTTAAACCCTTATAACATACCCTATACACCCCTCCTGGGAATCCTTGGTTGAGGACTTTGAAATCTGGGCAGTGGTTTAGGTTGTTTGCTTGGGGCTCAGGAGACTTGGAGATTAGCGTGTCAGGCCTCTTTGCTTAGACTCTGAACCTATGAGCAGAGCCATTCTTAAAATCAGAGCAAAATACAAACATATAGATACATACACATATGATAGCATCAGCGACTCAAAATAATCTCAGCAACTGCTACCAATCTTATCGCTATCACATCTGCTGCCGCTGCTGCCAGCCAGCTCTAATGTCTAATGAAGCCGCCTGTTTTCACGGTCATGATGCGCGAGCAGAATGCTGTGATAATATATGCCGAGCAGCTTGATAGCATAGTCTGCCACGGGCTCATTCCTCAAAAATGCTCAGTGGCAGAAATTTTCAGGGAGGTAAATCCAAGAGAGCCCCAATTGTGCCTCTTCAGCACCCAAACTGTGCAGCTGCAGAATTGCTGGTATGTATGACAGCTCCAAGGAAGCCAAAGCAAGATCCCCTTGCAGAAATCAGCGTAGAATCCCTTATGCTCGCGCTCAAAAGACATATTATGTACCTAAGCAGCTATTCGGCTCAACAGCGTAGCAGCTTCGAGTACAAGAGATGCTATGCTCTAGGATTCGTGCACCATCCGCTCTGCAACGAACTCCCTGACTTTGTCTTTGTCAGTGAGTTCCTGTCCGATGCAATGTATTCATGCTGGCCCCAATGTCTGACTCAATGCCCATTGCCTGCAGCATGCCCCTCCACATTGATGCCCAGGCAGCTGCCATTTCAAACTGCAGTGCCTTGAGCAGCTTCAGAACCTGAGTCTTGGGGCTTATAGTCCCCCTGAAGTAGATAGAATGTGGCTTTGGGTATATTATATAGGAAGATCCCCATAAACCCCATATTCTATCTACTTAAGGGTGACTATAGGGATTAGAAGCTGGGGACTCACATCCCCTGTCATGGTGAGCCGGGACTCATACCTCCACGTCGTAGAGGTGAGGTGGAGCGTTGGGACCTTTGTTCTTCAGTTATTTGCTTTAGGTAGACCCCCAGCCTGTAATAAGTATAAGAGGAACATAAGAGGACCCTAATACCATTATCCCGTATCCCTTCGTAAACCTTAAACCCTAAACCAAAATCCCTAAATCCAAAATCCTAAACCCCCAAACCCTGTACCATTATCCCATATAGTCACCATTACAGGATGGGGGGGTCCGCCTAAGCTATAGTCTACACTCCTAGTATCCCCCTTAACAACCCCTATACTTTTCCCCCATTTACTCCCCTTTAAGGAGTCCGGACCGAACACCCTTAACCCTAGTCCCTACATAACCCCCTATATAACCCCCTTTAGGGGTTTAGCCTAGAACTCACCTAGTGTTTGCTAGTATTGTCACCTCCTGTACCAGTGCTTGGCCAGCTGCTCATTGGAACTTCGTAGTCCTAGGGTTTAGTCTGGGGTTAGGGTTCTTGGTTTAGGGGTTAGGGTTAAGTGTTTGGGGTTCGGGTTTAGGGTTTGGGGTTCAGGGTTTAGGTGTTTCTGGCAGTTTGTTACGCGACATGACCCATGACCTTCGACACAAGAACAGAAACGTAGGCACACCCTTCTGAATTTGCATGCACACACACACACACAGTCCTCGGTGCACAGGCGGAAAATTCGCAGGTTCACCGCATTGCTACAATTGATGGTCGGCGTACCATCCTGCACTTTTGCTTCAGGACATCTTGGCACATGTCGCCAAACGTGCACCATCTGGTGCTGGTTATGATGCTATGCAAGCCGGTCTGTCGAACACAACCTCTTCTCAAGAAGATGTGCTACTTTTTTTTATCCTGCCCGGATGACATCAGCAGACTGGCCAGTGCCTCACTCCCATAACGTTTAACGCGCGTTTACCGGATTGATTGTCCCTGGTGAGTCTTCGCAGGAATGCGAGACTCAAGAGACCCTTCCACGTGTGCTTCTTAAACACATCACATGCTAATTCACATGGTAGATTCCCAAAATAGGAAGACCCCAATGTAGACCCCAATATACTATGGTCTTGATTGCTAGGACCCCTTAAATCGCACCCCTGATTTTGGGAAAACCCCATACTGTTTGCAGTAGCAGTCTTGTGGGTACTACTTCAACTATGACAGCCTCGTATGTTGGCCATGTGGTTGGAAACTGCTATAGTATATTGGGTTTATATAGGGATAATGGAAAAGAAAATGGAAACTACTGTAGTATGTTGGGGTTATATGGCGATAATGGTTGGGTTTTTCACCTCTATGCATTCCTGCTTTCCAGCTCCAGGCAAACCAGTAGTCATAGTTCCACTCACTTCCGCTCACATGGAAGGGTAAGCTCTCAAAAACTTGATAGGTATCAAAGCTGATAAATCTCGAGCAACAAGACCAAAACAGCCATCACAGAAAAACCCAACCACCATCCTCAAAATACTATAGTAGCTTCCATTTTCTTTTCCATTATCCCTCAATAAAATCAATATACTATAGCAGTTTGGAGGCTGTCCGGAGCTGACAACTGATATCAAGCAGAAATTGAAGAGCAATCACAAAAACTAATCTCCCAGGACCTTCCTTGTGCCCTTAAATAGGGGTATATGGTCCCTAATAGTGGGTATTTAGGGTATAATAGAGGGTAGATGGAGGGTCTAGGTCCAGACGGTGCCAATACTGCAAATTCCAATGCAAGCTGCAAACCTTATGAATGAAGCTGCATGTGGTTCTTTCAAATTCTAGAAGCACGTTGCAAGACGTCATGGGCTGGGGTGGTGCACCCCTCCCCCATTTTGATAACCTCATGCTTGTGTGATTACAGTCTATCTTTCCCAGAGAATTAATGGACTTTGGGTTTCTTATTATGTAATACAGTAGGGACATGCAAGGACTACACTGAACTACAAGAGGGACCAAAATGTCGACGCTTTGGGGTCTCTTGGTAAGGCTAATATTAACATATTACATTTGCAATAGTTCCTTTGAAAATTAAAGATTGCTGATAGTGCAAATTACAACACTTGGATGCGATGACAAGCTGCCAAACCCATTGAAAAATGTAAGACACATTTGGAGAGCGCAAATGTCTGGAAATTTTGTGAACCACGCTGTCTCCAGTGCTTTCAAATGCTATCGCCACGCTACAACATGCGTGGGGTTGTGGGGAGGGGGGGTCGCAGCCCGACCAAATTGAAACCTCATGCTTAACTTGCTGGCTGTGAACCTGTGACACATTGCAGCACAAAACGAGACTACTGTCACGTATCAGTAACAGAACTCGTAACAAAAATGGTACTCATTATCTACAAAGAATTTCAACAGAAATAGTGGCAAGAATTCAGCAGAATAGTGCTTGCTCAAGGTGGTACCTTGCAAAAGCTATGATTGTAATGTGTTGTAATAGCCGTGTAAGGAGGACTAACAACACTCGTTGTAGCTCTGGACCCATTACCTTCTCTTCTTCATCTTCTACCGGCTATGCTGACCCCTGTAGGAGCCAGTCGGGTTACCTTCTCTCTCTATCTCTCTTTCTTTCTTTGTACTAATCGTGTAAGGAAAACGAACAATGACTGTAATAGTGCCGCAGCCTTTAACTTCTTCTTCTTTCTTTGTCCATTTCCTTCTTGCTTGCTTTCGGACTATTCCTTTCTGTCTTCATTCCTCCCCTCCGTTTCTGTCTTTCTTTCTTGTCTTTTTGTTTTGGTTTTTCCTTAGTTGCCGCGCCTATCGCGTTTCCTGTTCTGACCATTGCTGCTTTCTTTCTTTCTTTCTGCACGTTGTCTTTCTGGCCTGCAGAGGGCGCCCAATACCGCACTTGGTATGAAAAGCCAGGATACAATTTTTTTTGATAGGTTTTCAAGCTTTTCGATAGCGAAATCGCCCCGCGAAGAGATTCTTTAGTTTGTCAGCAGCTGCTACTATGAATCACTTTCCTAATGCATTCCTTGCCTCAAAGTGGAGGCCGATCTCATCAATCAATTTGCGGCTCCAAGGGATCTCTGGGCCTTGGCTGTCCAAACGGTTGCTGCGCTGTAGATATGCTGATGTATGCCGATGTCACGCAATCCTGGTTCGTCTGGCTGATTGCTGGGGACCACGTTTAAGGGTCTCGCGACCGGCGTCGTCGTCTGCCTGCTTCTCGCAGCACGTGGACAACCCCAATCCGACGGACTTGAAGAAGCCTGCATGCATATGTCATGTTAGGCTCACTAGACTTTGAACATGGCTAGTTCCCAAAATTAGGGTCTGTTTTGGTACCCCTAAGTACTAGGCGCCGTAATATTAAGCCATAACCACAAGGAGCCCATAAGTTCGAGAATTACCCATGATATATACTAAAATAATCTACTATATACCATAATGTACTATACTCTAACATCATACATTATACCATATGAGCCATAGTCTAAACTCCTAGTATCCCCCTTAATAACCCCTATAGTAGTCCCCTACATAATCCCCTATATAACCCCCTTTCAGGAGTTTAGACTATAGCTCATACTATAATAGATTATATTGGGAATTATCCATTTTATACCATATATACCATACTATACCATATTATACCATGTTATACCATATTACACCATATCATACCATATTTTATCATATTATACCTATATTATACCCATATTATAGTAGATTTATATTGGGAATTATCCACATGCTGGTGAGACCACGCCGTGGCCTTGCTGCTGCCTCTTCACCTTGGCGTGCCAACCCAGGCCTGCCAGTGGGATGGAGTTGTTATAACAGTACAGGGTTTAGGGTTTTAGGGTTTAGGGGGTTTAGGGCTTAGGGTATAGGGTTTAGGGGTTTTCGGTTTTAGGGTTTAGGGGTTTAGGGTGGGGGTATGTAGGGGTTGTATAAGGGTTATGTAGGGGCTATACAGGGGTTACATGGGGATAATCGAAAACCATTTAGAGGTAAGGGGGTTGGTTGCTATTATGGTTGACGGCGGCCAACAAGTACACCACATCTTTATGCGTGAGCAACTGGCATTACGAAGGTCATAGAGGGTGCTACCATGCGCTACCTTTCACGTTGCGAACAGTGCTAGTGCGGCTGCCTATCCTCTTCTTTGCGGGGAGATTATCCGAACACGGACAGCAACCAATGTCACAACTCATCTTGACTGGAGCTGCTCTCTTATGCATATCCTTTTCAATCGACTAGCTGCTCAGTCGGAATCAATTTATGTATTCGCATCTGCCAGGACTTCATGCGAAACCTAAAGTTGAGCTGCCGGCACTGAACCCCAGATTAACACCTCTGCTGCGGTGAAAACAAATATCAACAACAGCCTTGGGTCCTGAGGGCCGTGCAGAAACGTTTAGGACAAGGCTCACGCTAAACCCACAAAGGTCCCAAACATTGGGATTATTAAGATTATGCGGAATTTCTGGCAATTACCAACGGCAGGGGCCATGACAGCAATAGCGGGAGGAATACCAGAACTACACCCTAGCACCCACCTATGGTAAAGCATTCTAATGCCCAACAATGAATGGGTGCCTTGATTGCTACCTTTCAGCAGCTTCCGCTCGTTGAAAAGCAACTTGCGCAAGCTCACCTGCCTTAGACGTCACTCGATGAGCACATAGAAGAGCTCTGCTCTGTATAGCCTTTCTGACTAATGTCTAAGGCAACGGCCCACTGTTGTTGAACTTGAAGGGCAGCATCCAATGCAAAGGTCCAGGTGAGGTTGTGTTCCTCAGATTCGTCTGACATGCAGTCTGCGTGATCTTCTCTAATAACTAACAACTCGAACATATCCAGTGTCTCTATACAAGTGCATGGATTTTCAACTACGCTGAAATTCAAAAAAGCAGATGGCTTGCTTCACTGAGCAACTTTGAGAACAATGGCAACTACTACAGTATATTGGGGCTATATAGGGATAATGGAAAATAAAATGGAAACTACTATTTAGGGTTCAGGGTCCCCCTTCCATCTTAGCCGGCAACTCAGAAATTGTCTCGTACAGTAAATTTCACAAGATCAGACGGCTTGTTGTCTGCCATGTGCTAGCCACTGCGCTTCTCAAAGGAATGCCCCCTAAAATGTTGTCATCTTGCTGGCTGGGGTCTCATCCACCCGAACCATAATTCCAGACCTCTCGCGCATGCGTGGGCGCTGAGTCACGGGATCAATGATTGGCTCATTGTGGTCATCGAACTCAATGCTCCCCTGCAGAGTTGAGGAGATGACATCATCGGCATGGTTCAGCAAAGCCTTCAGTACACCTGCCAAAATCAGCTTCGTCATCTCCCCCTTGCGGGCGTCCCTCTTGCTTGATCTGTTGGCCTTCTTTTCACGCGGTGTCAGTGCGGGCAGACTCTGGCTGGGTGTCAACTGCTTCACCCCTGGTTCTGGCTCCCCATCTGACATGTCTTCAAATTCTTCCTGGCCTACGAGATCGAAGAACCTGTCCAACTCGTCACCACAGCGCGCTTCCAAGCAGGCAACTGCACTGCGGAAGTCGCGCTCAACTAGCAAGCGCATTCGCCGTTCCAACTGCTCTAGCAGAGGGCGGACTAGACCGCGATGCTTGGCGTCCTCGCCGAGGCTGACCACAACTTTGACCGTCTCCTCAGTGAAGTTGAGCTGACCTGACCTAGGTCGTCAGTCTTGACACCAAATTGGACACTCAGGTGGATACCATACTTAGAGCAGATTGAAACACAACGTGCAAAGCCGTGCTACCTTCGGCCTGCCAAAAACTTCACTGCAAAAACGGCTCTATGGGGAGAATGGAAAAGAAAATTGAAACTATTATGGTATACTGGGGTTATATCGGGATAATGGACAAGAAACTGGAAAGTACTATCAATCATATATTGGGATAACCCTAAACCCTACACCCAAAACCTAAACATACCCTTAAGTAGATAGAATATGGAGTATATGGGGATCTTATTATAATATGCCCAAAGCTATATTCTATCTACTTAAGGGGGACTATAGACCCTAAACCCTAATCCCTAACCCTAATCCCTAAACCCCTAATCCCTAAACCCTAAACCCCAAAACAGGGCTGTGTGTGATGCTAAGCCTGGGGCTGGCCAGTGCCGACTCGCATCTTGGCCATGTCATGCAAACTCCTAGGTTGCCGATATGGAACTTAACTTAAGTTACTATAGTAAGGGTATATAAGGGGGTAGTTATACAGGGGTATATAGGGATATATAGGGGTTAGGGTATATTATCCCCCTATAATGGACAATCAACTGGAAAAGAACATATTTAAAGAAATGGAAACAAAAATGGTGACTTGATTTAAGTTCCTTAATAGCAAGCCAGACTCGCTGGAACGCACGGCATTGGTGCGAACGCGAGCATTCCAGTGAACCTCGGAGTCCAAAAGCCATGGGTTGATTGGGGGAGTTTTCCCTATTAGGGGATATATTGGGATAATGGAAAACAAAATAGAAACTACTGTAATGGAAAATCAAATGGAAAAGACAATGGAAAACGAACTGGAAACTGTGACTATATAGGTTCATTTGAGGATTCCTAAAATTAGGGGTACCTTGGGGGGTCCCTGTAACAAGGACTGTAGTATATGATTGGCGTCCCCGCATTTTGGGAAACTACCATTTCTTCAAGCCAAACTTGTTGCAGCTAGTTCGGCTTCATCTGGGGTTCTGGCTCGTCCACAAGCCGTTGCCAACTTCGGATGCATGCTAGGCGCATGTCCGACTGAAACAGGGGACGGCATGGCAGCTACACATCCATTCATGCACTTCAGATGCAAGACTACTGATTCCTAAGCCTGTGTCAAAATGAGCTGTAATCTAAACTCCTAGTATCCCCCTTAGTAACCCCTATAAGAGTCCCCTAGATAATCCCCTACATCCCCTTTAAGGAGTTTAGACTATGGCTCATTTCTTGGCTTGCCTCAAAGCCGCAGTACTCTGTGAGCAACCCAACCACTTTCCTGTCAACCTCTCCGGTGAACCTCATCAGTCGGGCAAGCTTCACAGCAGGCTCTCGCAACACACTCCTCGCATCCGCCTTAAATAACCGTATTATAGGGTTTAGGATCTAAACTCCTAGTATCCCCTGAATAAGCCCCATACTACTCCCTTTAACCCCTTTTAAGGAGTTTAGACTCGTTTAGACTATAGCTCATGGGCCAGCATGCAAGACGAATGCCAGCAGGCGACCAAGCAAGCCCATCATCGTCGCTGTGCTTGTCGTTGCCTGTGGGGCGAGGTTCTGACTTCTGGATGTGTGGATTGAAAGGGCAGATCATGGTCAGCTGGGCGTCAGGCTGTCCAAAGCACCTTTTGCAACCCTCCGTGCTTCATCCTCCGATGTCCACAGCACGGAATCATCGTCCTTGATGGCGCCAGTCCTGAGTGGAAAGACTCCACGAGACTGGCTGCTTTAAGGACATATCGAAGCTGGCATGACCATCATTGACCAAAGCAACGTGTTCAAGTACGCCTTGAACAATCTTCATGGTGAGAAATGCCTACACTAGCCAGGCCCCTGACGTAGGGTCGTACATCTCCTGGCGCGCAGCCAGCATTTCTCAAGTCTGTAGATGCTGTTGCTGGCATCTGAAGATGTACAAGGGCTGCACTCAACTGCTACTGTTGTGTGCCCATGTGCCCTGAATCGTTCTAGGGCAAGACCGGTGTACTTTTCATGTAAACAGGGAGGTGCTGCAGTGGCGTTATGCGTAGCATCCAAGTACTTTCTGACCGTCGCTGCGAATGAGGCCAGCATGTTGTCCCACCTTGTAGTAGCTTGCACAAGTGACGGCCACAGGCTTCTCGCGCTTTCTGAGGCCATGTCTCTGGTGGAAACTGCAGCTGCTTCACGCGAGCTTGGGCCTTTCAGCGGAGAGCAAGGACTAAAGGTTTGGAAGCATCTGTCAGCAGTCACGCATTCTGATACCTGGAGAGCGTTCTACTAGCCTGCTTCTGAGCTGTCAACGCGCTCCAGCTCTGACTGTCGCTTGGCAATTTGGCGTTTCAGCCTGAATAAGGAGGGAGAGTCGATGTCAGAAAGCAGTTGCACGCTGCTGCGAGGTCGTGTTGGGGGCGGCACTCTTCTTGCAATCTGCCAATGTGACCATCAATGTCATGGAACCTGCCCGCAGGTTCAAACGAGCAGGCTTCTGGCATCTGTGATCATCTGTGCTTTCTCAGGACAGCGCTGGAACTCATTGAGTTTCTTCCTGACCTGGTTAGCGGTGTTTGTGGTTGGGTAGGCTGAGATGGTCAAAGCAACTCTAAGGGATTTGGAACCCCAGTAGAAATTATAATTTCAGCTAAATATTAGGATTCTAGGTAACAGAAATTAAAAAGAATTTTCAGGAACCTTGTAGGCAAAAACACATCAAAAGCAGTGTGCCAGGCGATCATGCGCTGCACTCATGATCGCTTTGGGCCAGGCAAGGTCGATGCCAGGGACGATCACGTTGGAGAACACTTTACTGTCCTGCCAAAGGCTGTTTGAGTATCAACCCGCGGACTTGTGGATAGTTCTAAATATTAAGGCCAGATAAATGCAAGAACAGGGACCACTACGTTCTTTCAGCTCTCGCCTGTAGCTCAACCTGCTCAGCAACCCCTTCCAACAGCGGAAGCAGGCTTTACTTGTCTGGCGTCCTTGAAGCGCTCTTGCAGCTGCTTGGCCTTCACGGGTTCTCTGGACATCGGGCGATGATTTGGTAGTTTCCCAAAATAGTGGGACCCCAATATAGACCCCAAAATACTATAGTCCTTAATTATTGGGACCCCCAAAATGGTACACCTAATTTTGGGAAACCCCCATTTACTTTGAGTGAAAGGGTCAGTTTGGTGTCTGTATATGGGTAGTTCCCAAAATTATGGGCCCATAGATTATATTA